AGGATTGTTAACAATTTACTACTAAGTATTTTCAGATTTAAAATATTTCAGTGTGAGAGATTTTTGACAGATTATTTGAGAGTGATCTTCAATGAACTTTCTTTATTCTTTAATTATTTCCCTCAGAAAAAAAACGCTCTAACATTGCACAAATATATCTCAAATATATCTCCCTTGCTTTAGGTCAAGGATTTTCTTAATGTACATTTGAAAAGCATAGTTACAGATTTAAAAATAAATCAACCATTGACTAGAGCCTGAGCAGAACAGGACAGTCACTGTAATCTCTACAAAAGTGCAGAATTAGCAATCTAGAATCAGTTTAACTCCACCAGACTCCCAGCAGCATGGACAGGGATGTTGTACACGTGTAACTTACCAACACCCCACCAAGACTTCTCCACGTCACTTAGGCTACAAAAAGTGCACTTCTGGAGTCTCATACAGGAAATTATAAACATTAACAACCACGTAAGTATGAAAAATGCTAAATGCAAACTCACAAGCAAATGCTTGGCAGCTTTTTCTTTTGACTTATTGTATCTTTTTCCTATTATTCTGCAATACTTTCCATCCTCCCTTGCCAAGCACGTTACAAACTTGCTTTTCAGTCCCAAAACACCAAGGGCAGAAAGCCCAGACCAAACACTTCTCTGGAAATTTGTTCTAAAACAGCTAGGTAAGTCTGAGCAAAACAAACAGATTTTGTATGTAGAGTTCTTGGTCTCATTCCTCTTCACACCTGGAATGTGGCTGAGTTCACCCCAGGAGCAGCCTCAGTGATTTCAGTGGAGCCACATGCACGCAGGTGGGCTGAGCTATAAAGCCAGACCGAACACGAGGGGTTTGGTGCCACTCACAGCAGGCTGGGAGGAGGCTGCCCTCCAGCACCCTTCCCACTGGAACTCAGCACTGAAGGGACAAGTCTCCTGATGCTCCTATTTCTACATTTTCTCCAGAAGGTAATAAGCAGACCAAAATACATGTGTTAGGCACTTTTGATAATTTCTCTGACTACTGAACACAACGTATTCCAAATAGGTTAAATAATTCACTTTCTTATATTACCCAGTTTAAGTTACAGAACTTTTACTATTGTTTGGGAAACAGATGCTTAGTGACAAGCCTTTGTTTACACAGTGCAAAAGAAGAGAGAAAAAACACATCATAAATCTAAAAAGCCAGAAATTGACACAAGTGGCCTCTTCAACCTGCACCCCCTGGATAAACATGAGGTGCATGTCAGCTGGCCCCACATAGACAGAGCAGGGCAAAAGCCACAGGAGAAGAAAGCCAGCACATAGCAGGGAACTCCAGTGACAGCACAGCAGGTCTGCCCACCAGAACAGTGCTTTAGCTTAGTCGAAATGGAATAACTACAGCTCTACCCAGAAACTACCCATGAATACTTTTATTAAGAATGGTAATTGACAACAGTAAATTATATTTTGATCTACGTCATTCACCCATCATCTGTTCTGCAGATGAGATCTCAGGAAATTAAAAGAAATTTAAATGCAAAAAAATTTAAACTTTGGCAACAGTGACAGATAAGGACAAAGAAATTATCTCAAAAACACAGAGCTTTTTATTAAAGCATTTTTAAAGCCTGGATCAGCCTGAATATTTTTGAAGAGAATTCTACAATTGCACAGATTACAAGCAATTTAATTTTGCTTTTTCTATTATTTGTTGTTGATCAAAATTGCTAACTGCTACTTAGAGCAGCTGCATTTCCACATCATTTAAAATTGCTTCTCCTTTCTAATAATTTAGTTCCAGTGATTCAAGTGGTTTCTACAGTGATACCTCATTGAGAAAAAACATTCTATATGTAGAAAAAAAAATGAAAATGAAACTTAAAACTCTCATTGTTTAAAGGAGAAAGAATTATTTCACAAAGCTATTTGCATATCAAAAAACTACTGCAGGAATGCGTGATTATATACACAGAACTTGCCAGCACAGCTCAGTTCTTAATGTTCAAGGACTGCCCCAAGGCCCCTCCTCAGCCAACTTCTTCATTTGATGGGAAGCCATTGACACATTGTAGGAGAACTGCAAACGCATTTCCTCACTGGAGCTTTGGTCTGTCCATGTTTTAGGAGAGGAGATCATGAGAGAAAAGCTTGTGATTTCAGCAAGATTATTTTCAAAGCAGGTTTAGGAAAAAAACATGACTACACATTTGCTAAAGTGTGCCTGAACTCATAGCCTTTCCCACTACCCGAAAAATCAGTTTCTAAACGTCAAGTCCCCAACTCCAAACTGATCTAAACTTGTAAGTTTACAAATCTAGTGATGCAATAAGCCATTATTGCTTCAGATTTTATAATTCAGAGATTTCTTTATCATCTGCTGGAGAGAGAAAAAATACCCAGTATGCCTTACTATGAAGTAACTCATCATACTTCTGATGTGAACCTTTATAGCCATTATTATCTAATCACATATCAGCATCTCAACAGCTACAATCCATGGTCGCTTCAAAAGCACTTGAAGTTTAGGTTCTGTGATTCAGGGCCCACTTAAATCTCAAAGCCAAGAAATATCAATATGAACTTCATGAGAAATAGATAAGCAGGAAAGAAAGCCATGTGGCTGAAGCTGCCTGTAGCAGCATGTTTTGAAAGATTTAAATAGTTCCCCATGAAAACAGGGATACAGTGACTCAGGAACTCTGATTCAGCCATGTCCTCCCAGTTATCACCACGACCATAAGAAAGTAACCTGTGACACTTTTATTCACTACAAACCTCCCAACAGGTTTATTTAACAGCTCTGACAGGTACACCGACAGGAAGCACAGAGGCTACACCCTCCTGCTCAGCAAGGTCAGGAGAAAGCTGCAGCTCAGCTTTGCTACAAGGAACACAGAGGAAGAAGCAGCTTTATGTCCACACTACCCCCTGCAAGAATATAGGACTTTGTCACAACCTTGGTCTACATTAGTGTCTCTATCACCCCTGAATAATACCACTGTAGTAAGCTTCATTCAGAAGGTTTCTACTGTTCGGGTTGAGTAATTTACACAAACACTAGAATTACCAAAATTATAACAGCAAATACTGATGACTAATAATGAAAGATAGGAACTTTTTCAGAAGTAATACAGGAATTTTGCCTTGCAATTTTAACCATTTTCTATCAGTTAAAGGTTGGAAGGTTGTTTTGCTGGCATCAAGTGATTACACCACAAAGTTTTCTGCAATTTCTTCAAAGGTACTAGTATCAGACTGGGAAAAAGACCATGAGGTACTAGAAGACCCTAACAAAGGGTTTTCTCCAGTTTTTTTTCCTCGAAGATAAGGAATCAAGAGGGGCAAAAGGAGAATGCTACAAAATGAATTCAAATGAACTGGTATGAATTACCTTGAAAAAACAGCAGCACACTTTTGCTCACAAATTTTAGTCACAACTTTTTGTTTTCTCGAGTGTATTTAGTACTTCAGCAGGTATGAGTAAGTAAAAAAATGCAAATACTGGTACAGTTCTGTGGTTAAGTTATGCCAATCTACAACTGCGTTGTCACCAAATAGGATGGACCAATATTAAATACAATTGTCTCAGAAAGTACATATACTAGCAAGCATGTCCAGCTCAGCATAAAATTTAGTGAAACAGCTAAATGAATGTAAAAGTTCCCTGCTGCCCTAAGGGAGGTCTCACTCTCCACTGGCTTCCTCTAGCCTTGCTTCTGGCAGTGAAGTTTCCTCTCTCTACTCTCCATAAGCTTTAGTAGGTTTCACACCCACTGAGATGCTGACACAACTCACGAACCTAGCAGAGAACCATCCAGTCTCTTCTGCCAGGGCACCCAGCTCATTGAAGGATACAACAACACACGTCACAGTCACCAAAAAACCCATGGGAGAAGCAGCCAGTGACAAACTGGCAAGAGGCAGGAGCAAAGGAGGGAAGAACAGGAACTCCAACTTCTGCCAAGGGTAAGCCATTCAACCAACCTTCCTTCTCCAACTTCCTCTACATCCCAGAAACCACAAGATTGCTAAAGCTGATATAAAGAGGAGGCGTGAATATATGGCCAGAGAGCAGAGAAAGAGCAGTACTATTTCCCTCAACATCCAGAGCTCACCACTGAGCCACAGGCACTGGAGATCCAGGCTCGGTATGGGACAGGAGGGGCACAGCAGTGACACATCACTTCATGGAGCTGTTTGCGTCTCCACCATCTAATAGGGTAATACTAGGCACAGAAAGTGGGTGTATGTAGGCACAGACCAGCCACACATCCCACAGAGAGGCACAATTATGTTGATTAGATACAACGCTGTAAAAATATATATAAAATGGGTAAAAACGTAAGGAAAGACTGAGGGGAAAGTTGCCTGACATAAGCAGAAGTAACCCTACAGCAGTGATAGACAACTGGTCACTGGACTGGGGAAAAACAAAGGAGTGCATGCCTTGTTCTGACAACAGGAAGTAAGACGATACCGAGCTTGTTTTCTACTGGCACCCCGACAGTGGCCACGCAACAGACAAAGGCAGCAGACGGTGGGAACTGAAGTGTGAGCACAACTCTGAAGAACCTCTGAAGATAGACCACCGGAGTTCAGCCTCCTGAGCCTGAGTCTCAGCTGACACTGCTTCGGCTGACGAGCATTCCCTGCACCAGCCGTCCGCCACCACTCACCCCCATCTCCTCAAAGGCGAGTGACCCAGCAGGGCTCGCTGCACACTGCGCTAGCTCCGCACGAGCCCAGACCCCGCACACTGCCCACCCAGTCCCGCGTACCACACATGCTGCCCCTTTTCCTTGCACTTCCCACATCCCCCCCTCCCCTTCCTTCTCAGAGCCCCCACACCACGGCAGGACACACACCGTCCCTGCCTGTTCCTCCGCTCAAGGCCGGCTGCCCACAGCTCGCCAGCACCTGTCACCCCCAGGGCCCCCACAGCCCGGCCCGCCCCATACACACCCAGCCCCGCTTCCTGTCCCCCAGCACGACCCCGGCCCGGCCCCTTCTCGACGGCACCTGAAGCGCGGCGAGTCCTTCAGACACTCCTCAAAGTCCACGGTCACCTTCATGGTGGCGAGGCGCGCCGCTGCCTCCGCTGCTGCGGCTACTGGCGGTGGTGGCGCGGCGAACCCGGGGCGAGGCGAGACCGGGCCAGGGCCGGCGGGCGGGGCGGGACGGGACGGGGCGGGGCGGGGGCAGTGCTCAGGGAAGGGGCGGTGGCCGGAGCGCCCTGTGCCCGCCCCGCCCGGGCGCGACTGACGGCCCGGGCAGCCAGCAGCGACCGCCCGTGAGAGCGGGGTCTCGGCGGCCAATCACAACGGGAGAGGGGAGGGCTCTGTAGGCAGAGCGCCCAATAAGCGTGGCCGCTCGGAAGATGCAGCCAACCGCCGGCATCGCAGCGATTGCTCCCGCCCCGGCATGCCCAGAGTGACAGCCGGGCTCGCCAACGGGCAGGCGGCCGCGGGCCTCCCGCCAATCGGCAGCTCCATCGCCGCGGCTGCCCCCATCACTGAGGCCACAGCCCGGCCCGCCCGGCGTTCGCCGCCGTGACGGTGCCGGGGGCGGGGCAGGCCCCGTGGCGCCGGGCCCTGCTCAGCCGATTATCGGTACCTGATTGAATTTTTAAAATTACAGCTCTTCATTAAACAGGGGGAATCTCCTCCTCGGGGTGAGACACGCGCGGGAAAGCCCGGCCGGGCCCCTAAGCAGCTGTACCCGGTCGAGAGCTGCCCGCGTCCCTCAGCCGGGCTCCGCCCCTCGGCCGTGGCCCTGCCCGTCAGTCCCCCCGAGCCGCGCGGGGCAGGGGGCGGAAGGACGGGCACTGCGGTTGGAGAGCAGCGCGGGCTCACAGGTACACATGGGGACACACAGTGGATGACAGGGACACACACTTGCTCCCGCGGGCAGCCAGTATACCTGCTGAGAGTGCCACCAGCAGGAAGAAAGCTCCAGCTCCGGATGCTCTACAGTGTGATGCATTTTTGGATAGAGGAAGTCTCTCGTGGGGGAGAGTCCAAGGAGTGTTTGAAGGAGAAATGCAAACCGCAGGTTTTCCTGTCAAGGACTATCAAGCGTGCGTGCTTGGGTTTCTTACCCAACCTTTGTCCGAGAATACTCTTTGAACTAGACTGGATCATATTTTGTAGTAAATCAGAGTGAACAGGACCATGGTGTAGTCTCCAGTTTGCAGTAAAGGACAGCAGAATATTGTAGATATCTGATCTTTTAAGAGAATACAGAAAAAGATCTTTAACCGGTTACATGCTGCTTATTGTTCCCAGATATAAGACTGACAGACAGGAGCACCAGCCATCCCCACTCCTCCTCAAAAGCAGCGGCAGAGAAGTTGCTGTCCAAGTTAAACTTGTCAAAGGTGACGCAGTCACACGTCACAGGCTCCATCCCGCACTCCCAGGCCGCCATGCTGGGAAGCTGACACAAGTAGATGTGCACTCTTGCCTCCTCCCGGAGTCTGAGGAGCTGCCACACCTGCTTCCAGCGACTCCACTTACCCCTGCAGCTTTCACACCCTCCCTCACCCCAACATCTGCACCAAGTTTCACCTCTTTTTTTATCTCTTTCGTTTTTTCATACTCTTCCCATTCTCTCTTTCCCACTTCCTTTCAGTGTTACAAGGAGAAACAGTCAACATGGAAGGAAGGGAACATAAAACTTCTTCCAAGAAGCTGAATGCTTGCTGTACCCTTACTGTCCCTCCCTGAGTTAAGGTGTCCTTTCACAGAAGCAGAGGGATACTTTTTGGTTCAGTCAGTTGAGGTTTAGGGTGTCAGGTTTTTTTTCTAAGATTGGTGAAATACCAGAACCAAACTACAAGTTACACAGATGTAACAACTGTGTATTTTTGTGAGCTGTCTTTCACCAAAACTAACCAAACTACCACTATTTTGATTAGAGATTCAAGACACACCCACTCAGGAAAAGCAGCATGTTAAGATTTGTATCTCTGAGGCTGCATTTATATTGTGAAATCCACTCTTCAACTTAAGTATGCAATTGCAAAGAGCCCAGCTCTATTCTGAGGAAGAGTTTTACTTCCTAAGGAGTAGCCGGTGTTAGTCATTCTCCATTACTCCATGCTAATGAGTGATGACTCAGTGTTGACCATGAAGAGACAGACCAGTTATGCTTAAATCCTACAACACACAAATTAAAACACCTTGAAAAATGCAACCTTTTCTGTGGTACTGCTATTTTAAGTTCATTAGTCAGGTTACCAGATCTACCCTCAGGTCTAGGCAAGCCAGCAAATCTGACTGTGTGAACAAACCAATTTACATAAATGTTACAATAAATGAGAATCATGAGAAAATTACAATACTGGTTTAAGAATTTATCTAGGAACACACCTGCCAGTTTCTTCTGAAGAGCTCCAAGAAGCCAAACACTAGATTAGTATTAGTGCCATAAGGCAGTAATGAAAACAATGGTTTTATTTATGTTGTGACACTTAATACCGGTTTCAAACAGAATAATTACATTTGTGAGGAGGAATCATAATACCACAGAAAAGCTCAGCTCAGTGCACACAGCCCAACACTCTGGACACGCCAAGCTGGTATATGAAGGGTACAAACCTAAAGTTTTGAAATCCTATTCTTGGGAGCCAAATTGAAAGCTACAGTAAGTGACTTGGTGAGTCAGAAGTATCTAAATGCTTACCCTTTGCCCCTGTTTACTCTATGCAAGTGACCACATTTGATACAAGAAGAAATAGCATCCTGCATGTTGAAAAATTAGCATCACCACACTGGCCAGAATCAAGAGTTCAACTCTTTCTTGTGAAAAGACCCTATTAATCTTGATTCAGGACCTTAGAAGATTAATTAACTCAAAATTGACAATCCTGTTACCTACAGAGAAGAGGAGATAGTTGGGAAAGGCACACTACAAAACCCAGTTAGCACAACTCACGGGTATCTTTGGCAATGCATCCAGTCTAATGAATCATTCCTGTAAAATCTTTCAGAGGACAGTATTCCATTGACTTACTCACTCTCAATTTCTCTGGGAATCCAGGAAAGCTCACACTTGAGAATGCATGTAACTGTAAAATAACTTTCATTCCTTTATTCAAACTTCACATATACAGTGGAGAAAAAAGACATTTTAAAATAGATCCATATAATTATATGGATTTTTGCAACATATCAAATTCAGATCAAAATTAAGATATACACTGTATTTCATAACCAAGCTAAAGCTTAAGTGTGTACTTCGTTTGTGTAATAAAACCCAGAAACTACTCTGATACTGGAACATTCACCAGTCAAATTCCACCCAGTGGGAAGTTTTTACAGCAATTCGGAGGTACAGAATCCCTCTTTACAGCTATACAACCACACTGTAAACAAGTATTTCAATTAAGCAGTTTCCCTTCAAGCTTCCAAAAAGCCTTCATTTTATAAAAGCAGTTGCTGTAAGTTGCAATGGACACAGGAAGATTTAGACCAGTGGTTTTCAGTATGGAAGTTGCCAACCTCAAATGAGTAGATCAACAGCAGTTATCTTTGATAAACAACAGCCAGAGCCTAAGCTCAGCACATCTTCAGTCCTGATGTATATTTCCTCATCATGGCTGGGTGTTTTTCCTCAGGTGCTAACAGTGCAAACACTGTTCATGCAACTGGAAAGAACCAAACGTTTGAAACAAGAGCCAGAAGAGTAACAGTGGATGTGATTTTAAGAGAAAAGCTGGAGGAAACTTGCACATTCTCACAATAAGCCAGAGAGAGCTCCACAAAACAACCAGTCCTGATGGAAGAGGTTATGAATGTTAAATGCAAAGTTCAAGTTAGCCGTTTCCAGTGTAAAAACACTCCCTCCACCAGATGTTAGTACTGCTTTAGTCAGAAACTAACAACCAATTCCAAACACCGCTCTTAAGAAATAACACAGCTCTTGTTCTAAAGACTGGGAAAGTGCAGGTAAAAATGTACTGAAATCTAGATTAACAGGTCAACATTTTACAAAAAAAAAAGTTGTAGGACTTGAATAATCCCTTTTTAAACTGCTTAACACATCTGATAAATAGCTTACATGTCAATCTGATACATGCTGTACCGTTTGGCTCTTGAATCCCAAGACTTTCTGTATGAGACACCACATCTAGAACACTCTCAAATAAATAGTGAAAACCCAAAAGATAGTGAGTGTTTCAAAGCAAGAGAAACAGTACATCACACAAGATAATCAGCGCTATACATACAGGGAATGCCATTCTGGTCGAACAAATTATGAAGCAGTATTCTCCATGAAATACTAGGCACAAGAAAAAAATCAATTAGACAGTGTTTTCTGCCTAATGGACAAGTCTAAAATTAACATTCTTGGCAATACAACATTGTAACTGATATGCTTCTTAACATTTAAGAGCCTTAATTGCAAAAATCATGAAGCGATGTTTATATTTGTGTCTTTGACAAGCAGTTACAGTTCTGGACAGATTTCTTCTATGCTGTGTGCTCTACTTTCCAGCTGGTCACGAGTAACATGTGCTGCATAAGAAAGATTACAAAAAATAGATAATTCTTCACACCCATTGAGTATTTTCACAACACACACAAATATCCTCCTGAAATCATCTCTCTTTCTCCAATGTTTGCCAATCCATCTTAGCAATGTATAAGCTTTTAATGGGACAGTACAGAAACTTCTAAAACTTCATGCTCTAAAGAGATGGCCAACACCACTGTTCAGCACACCAAGCACTGAGTGCTCATCCCGTGGAACTGGGAGGACTTAACTCAGGTGTTTAGAACTGACACACGTGGTTCCTCAAACACCAGCAAACATAGTACTTCCCAAGTCAAATTTCAGTTCCAGATGACACACTTGAAATGAAAAAATCCCAAATTTATATGTGAAGGAGCACAGTCAGTTGTGTTTTCAGGAAGTTAACTCATACTTTTGAGCAAAAACACCGCAATAAATCAGAGGAAACTTCTCCTCAGTGCTGATCAAAGAATATTCATCAAAATGATAATATTCTTTTTAAAAGGACAGTTAGGCTTGGGCATGAGTTAGATTTGGTAACATGCAGTTTAACAAGCAAACAGCACAGTTAACCAGCAGAACTGATTGCTGTGTGCTCCCAGCCTTCACACTTAATTCATCTTTAGTCTGATGCTTGCCCTGGTAAAGAAAACACAACATATTCTGTATCTACCCAAAGGCCAAAGGGCACACCCAGTCAGTGACAGCTCAGCTGCTGGGTGCCATCTGAGCAGGGTTAGCAGAGTAATGTAGCTAAATGAACCAGAGAAAGAGAACAATAGTCTTACTGCTTGTCAATTGAACTGCTATAGACAACACCCTCTGACTGATACTTTTGTGTAGCAGAAGACAGGTCTGCACTGAAATCATCATGCTTAAATTCACCTACATCAGGAATATTTCCTCCTGTGATTGCAAAGAGAATTTCTAAAGGGAATGTTTTTATGAAGAGAAACAAAGGTCACTTCTGCTGGCAAAGAAGAATTCTATTTATATTATTCATGGAGTCATAAATAGCAAATAGGCAGTGACAGTGAAATGCTGAAGCAAGCAAATATACAATCATAGAATGGCTTGGGTTGGAAGGAACCTTCCATATGTATAAAAGGAACATCCAGCTCCAATCCCCCTGCCATATGCAATCTATTGCAATTTCTACTTTCTTTTCCACAAAAGAGCTTGGCTGCCAGAATCCATATGCATGGGATAAGGCATGGCTACTTGAGGCAAGAAAGGAATAATCCATCCATTTAAAACACTTGGTTGCCACAATGAAGACAGGAGCAAAAATATACAAAGTGTTCTCACCATCACTGACTGGACTGGCCATCTTCATTTCAATCAGCAAGAAATCTCAGTCTGTAACCAAGAAGTGCAACTTGTATTAGTGGACCTGGTGGTATCTGACAGGAACCTCCTTAAACCTGCCCTAAGTCTTTAGCCCCTTCTCTGAAAGCAGAGTGTAGAGATTAGAAGTGTACTGTTAGTTTTATTCAAATAAAAACCAGACAAAATTAGAGGGTAGAAAGAAACATCAGATAAGAGAAGCACAGGATTTTTAAGGGATCTTCATGGACAGAAAAATTCCAAGTGAGAAGAGATTCTCAAATTGCCTGAAAAACAACCCAGGAGCCAGTGGAACCCCAGAGTCACAACAGACCACTAAGAAATGCCTCTTATGTCACATCTTTACCTGCAACAATCATCAGTACTACAGAAGTCATGTTATTCCATTGGAATGAAAGGACATTGCATGGCAGCTCTCACTCACATTGACTGGCATCATAGCTGAGTGGAAGCCACATCACCTCATGATCTCCACAACCTCCCAAGAACTCAAGTTTTAAATTGAAGGATTTATAAAAATATAGCTACAATACAACATGCAGAAAACCCAGGACATTTTCTTTGAAGTTAAAAGCAAGCATCAGGGCTGTTAGTCAGTTTAACAGAGTGAAGCCAAAACAAGCCATTGCAAAAATCAACTCCTGTATCACCCAGTACAAGAGTAAGGAAACCCTCCCTTTTCTGCTCTAGACAAAAGCATTTTAAAATACAATTTCAAGTCAAAGAGCTCTTTGAAAGTTATCCAGGTGAATAATCTTTCCATACATTGTTCTCAGGAACATGAATATTAATAGGATTTTGATTTCCTTCCACAAAGGCAACAGCTTAATTTTTAAATACTCAAGTGCTTAATGTAACCAAAAGCACAGCATGACCAAAAGCACATTGACCAAAAACCCCAAGTAGCAAGTGTTAAAGCCATCTATTTGAGAAACCTTCTGTAGCTCTAATTAACACTTATGAATAAGGAGGTTCTTCTGTGCCTTCAGAATACAGATGAGAGAGCAATAAATAATATAATCTCAAAAAAGTTATTTCAATAAAACTTTGATATTAGCACAGCTATGTGCTGAATACTTCTCATTTCACTGTAAGAATTTCTTAAAATGTGGGCAGTGGCAGAAGACTGTTTTATTAATATTTTTGTTCATATCCCATCATCCTTTGCCCAACTCTTGTCTCATAATCTGCCTGAGGACATTCAATTCACCAGCTGCTACAAAAGTGAATCAGTACTTAACCTCAGAAGAACTGATCAAGGACAGGGATTAAAGGCTGTGATAGCTGATATAGAGATTAGGAGATAACAAAACATGAAGGTTAAAGCAGAATGATAGAAAGGTGAAGAACTGAGAACTAGATCAGGTTAATGGAAAGTATTTCTATATGCTATGGTGTGGAGGTGAACCAGTTAATTAACGGGTTGCTACACTGGCAGACAGTTACATTTATGGAATCTATTAGCCATGAGTCTAAAATTGATAATTACCAGTTGTGGCTCTGAAGCTGGTTATGAGGAAGGTGGAATGGACTTCAACAATAGAGATGGAAAAATGCTGCAAAGGTCTGCCTTCTTTCCACTGGCGAATGCAGCTGGGGAGCGGAGTTGCCTCTGTTTTACAGCAGAGTGCAGAGAGATGGCAGCTTCAGGCCATGCAGAAAGGTCATACGGTTGGCTACTGCAGCCCTCCTTTCCCCTGGAGAGTGAAGTTCTAGTAAATAGCCATTGTAAGGCCTATGTTAAATTACTGGATAAAGTCAGTCCAGTAATGGGTCTCAGATACATACCAAATGACCCTTTCGGTGCAATTGTGAAGGAATTAGTTCTCCTGTAGTAAATAACAGGACGAAAAGGTGCAATCCACAGAACTTAAACACGCAACTTTGCAAAACACCTTTTTATTGCGTGGGATTTAAATGAATTTTAGAAGAGTTCCTAGTTCACATGGTTGTGAAAAGCAGATGTGAACCAAGTAAAACCCATGCAGCATCTTCCCAAGTCTGCAGACCATGCTAATATCTCATAGCTTTGCCAACCACAGATGAACAAGGCTTACAGACTTCACTGCCACCAGTCTCATGAGCAACAGATGTATGGTTTTTTAATGTCAGAAATTTATTCAAAGTATTGTTACATAAAGAGGTGGGGAGTGAACTGTAATTATTCACCAGAATACCACCACAAAAGTCTAAGACTTTTCACCCAGAGAGAAGTTTAAAGATGAAAGAGAAGGTGTCAGCCTCTATAGTTTTAGGAGTTTCCTGTGAAGAGACAGCCCTGAAACAGGTTCCAGCAACTCCCATCTCCCACTTAAATATCCCAGAGTTTCTTCCAGTAGCTGCACTAAAAGCCAAGTTGAGAGTCTTATCCCATACTATAGCATGGTACATTTCTGCTCATGGACAAGTCTGTATTGAAGGCCTAACAGCGGTTTTACATTTCAGTGTTCTTCCTCAGGAAGATAAATAGTCCTCTCAACAGGGAGGAAACATTGATGGTAATTTCCCATTGCTGGCTACAGGATGGATTGGGAGCAGAATAGGAAATGACCCACAACAAAAGCCAGGCTCTCCCATGTGGCCATCAAAGTGTTCAGTACAAGACAGCTCCTCCTTTAAAAAGAATGCTGGGAACTTCACTACCCAAAGTCAGCTATGTTGGGGAAATGGTAAGAAGCAGACATGTTTGCTTTTCTGTTATGCCACAACATATCAACACTGATAGGTTTTGTTCCGTGCTACAAATCTACCTATCAAGACATTATTCATTGAGGGTTACATACATACTGTACTCCTTCTAGTCATTCTCACACTTGAGTATATTCATTTCCCAACAGCTCAAAGGGCCACCAGTACTTACAGGTGCTTTTTAATTAATCAGTAGCTCACCATGTTCGGTAGCTTCTGTACTCATTGTTTCTACATCTGCAGCATCACGCATCTCTTCATCCTCATCATCTTCCTCTTCTTCACCATGTAGTTCTTTCGCAATGAGCTGCCTTGCCAGTTTGATGTTTCTTCCTTCATTGTAGTGCATTTTTCTCTTCATTTCAAACTGTTTCTTTTTCTCTGTGGACAAACAAATGGAAATAGTTGTTCCTTCCCTTAAAAAAAAATCAACGTATCTTCTTCAGAGAGGAACTCACTGAATAAAAATTGTCTTCAAGCAGTGGAGTGTTCTTTTAAAATGAGTCTGACTTACAGAAAGGATAGTAATTGATGTCTGAATAACTGATAACTGAAATCTCAGAAGCACTTTTATAAGAACCTGTTTGCAACTAAGAGCAAGTCTGAAGCACAAGAAGCATCTGGTAAAAGTACACAAAACTCCGAAGTTTCACAAGCCTTATTTCTAAGTAAACTCAAGGACAAATTGAGACATACTGCTGGGATAGAAGATGAACTTTTGCAGATGTCTGGCTTGACTCCTGGCTAGCCACCAAAGGTCAGTTATGAGAGATATATTTACCACATGTAGAAGAAAATATTTTCCACTTTCCCCATGGCCTGAAGCCAACTCTGCTCCATATATTAAACATTAGCATATCCAGCAGTAATGCATTATAATTAAAGCAAATTTTTCTTACTTCCAGCCCCAACGCTTTGTTCTTTTCCTTTAGTATAGCAAGGTTTCACACTCAAAGTTGAGGCCAGGAAATTTGAGAAAAACCAGCTAGATAATACAAGCCTGAAACCTTAGAAGTATTGTTGTTTGACTGTTCCCTCAAAACGTTCTAGTCCAAGTTAACATGAAATAACATCTCTGTTAAAGATGCTATTTGCTTTGGAATAATTGTAGACTTCCTATTGCATCCATCTACCAGTTGCTTTGAGAACAACAGAAATATCATCTGTACATTTGCAAGCAATTAGCAGCATTTTATTTGTAGTGGTACTCATTTAATTAAGTCTACCTGAAACACGTTCAGATTAAGAACTATTTCTTCAACCCCAAACTAGAATTTCTTAGCAGGAATTCCCACACTTTAAGCTTGTATAGAGGGAGGCAGCCAGCAACAGCAAATTCCAGTTTATATGAGATCTCAAACCAAACATTCCTGATTAGAAACAAGCAGCATATTTGTTCAAACACTATTTATCTCTATTTTCCAATCACAACATTTTTCTGATAGTACTTCTTGCAAACATTTCTTATGGAAAACCTGAAACTATTTGTATGAAAAGAGTCTAAACAAAAGAAAGAAAACCATTTATGCCTACCCCGTTCTTCAGGTGTTAATTCTTCATCCTCGTCCTCCTCTTCACTGCTTTCTTCTTGCCTTGTTATAATCTTGGGTCCTCTACCTTCAGCTGCAGCTGCCAGTCTACATAAATCATGCAATACAAAATGCTGAAACAGCAAGCTTTTCACTTTTTAAAATACATGACATTTCAGAACACTCATACAAACAGCTTTGTTCATTATTTTTGCCATATTTATATGTAGTAACAACCTGCAAGAGGTTTAAATTACCAGTGGCACTATCAAACACTGAAAACCACTTATTTTGACAATAGTGAAAATGCAGCTTCTAGAGAAACCAGAAACAGCTTTTAAAAAATCTATCCCAGGAAAGAGCAGATTATCTTCACATTTAGTCAGGTTTTTTAATTACAATACTTACTTACAATACTTACTTTTTACTCAACACATCTGCTCTTAAGGGCTCATATTCTGAATCACTCACTGCATCCTCATCATCTTCTCCTATCATGCTTGGAGGGAAAACAAAAAGTAGCCTTTTTTAGTAATTCGCTGGAGTTTGTAGTTCACTCAAGAAAACAGTCAAGACATTACAATACTCAATTAATTACAACACTCAATTAAAAGACTCCTTTAATGCTTTAAAAGCCTTTCAAATCGACTTCTAAATATTGATGACATTATATTCCAGTACTGAAAAAATTAAAATCAATAGAAGTCAGACTTATTTATTCCATTCAAAGCCTGAAGTCTGCTAGAACAACCCTTCTAAACTTTGTGCTTTACACTTTGTCCTTTCAGACAGTTCTCCTTATTTAGAAGCTTTGCAGATCTGAGTATGTTGCATACATCCAGCAGGCTTGTACAGTAATACTACATCACCCACAAAGTAAATTTTTCTCTAAACCCACAATTCCACCTGGAAGCACACAGGACAATACTTTAGCAAATGTACCTGTGGTAAGGAGTACTTGGCTCATCAATTTTCATCAAGCCATAATCTTTGCCTGCAGGGTGATACGTAGCTATGATGTTCATTTCATCCCACTTCTGGGATTTTTTACTGAAATAAGAAAAGAAAATTAAATTTTCTTATATTCTAAAACAATTAGTTCTGCTTTACCAGAGAAAGAATTTTTTAAAAAATCATCTGATCTCTACTACATACTAAGCACAAAAAATGCTGTTATGATACACAGACATGTTCAAAGTATGACTATTAAATACTGCTTGATACACACTTAAGTCACAACAAATTCTCATTGCAACTTAATTTCCCTAACAAGTTATAATAGCTAAACAAACTCAATGATCTCTAAACATATTCTTATTCATATAATTCAGAGACTACTGGTCTTGTTCAATGACTATCTTGTGACTGTTTCATTTTACAGTAACTTGTAAAAAGAGAATTCTTCTCCTTATAACAACCCACAAGACTTCAACAGAACCCAATACCTTTCAGTTCACCTCTGCTGAGGGAGCTGGAATGATTATTAGCAAAACTGTTACATAAACAATAGCAACATAACAAATCCTCTCCTGCAGTGAAATAAGTAGCATAGAACAAGCTGGTTATTAATACTGCTTCTGTCATCCTAAATTAGAATCAGAAGCCAAATGATTCACTGCTATAATTAAGGCGAGGGAGTTTCACATTTTATACAGACAGGCACCAGTGATGCTACATTATCTAGAACTTTCTTAGTCAACCAGAAAATGAACCATTTTATGCATATTTGAAGAAACTAAAGCTCACCCACACTGACTGCTTATTGACAAAATATATAAGCCACAAGAAAAGTAATTGTCTTGTGGCCAGAGAAAGAGCCATCCCTCCACTGATCTAAAAGCCACAAAAAAATGTTTATCAACACAAACCACGTTTCATGTTTTCTCTAAAAAGGTTATTGCAAACTTCATATAAGGTGGTCTTTCCCTTAGATTAAGCCAATAATTTTAATTTTAGAATAATACAAAAATTCCACAAACTAACATATTCTTGTTGTAAACTATTAGTTAAGGAAGCAAACATTACAGGACATTGTGGGTTTTGTGGGGGTTTTTGTTTTGTTTGGGGTGGTTGTGTTTGAGTTTTTTGGGGGGTGGGAAGGGGCAGTTGGCTGGAAGACTTCCACTTAACTGCTCTTGTTTAAACAGGCTGCTCTAATAACAGATCTGAAAGATATATTCAATCTCAATAACACAAGTGCTGTTGAGCAGAATAATATCTCTAAAACAAGATAAAGCAAAATTCCAAGGACAAACTACATTCTGCAGTTACAGGATCACTGCATAATACAATGTGGGGGGAAAAAAACTAAAGAGAAGAAAAATAGATGTGAGAGTTGATGCTGAATCCAGCATGCCACAGGCTTGCACTTCAGAAATTAATACAAATTGAATGATCTTAATCCCCTCAGCACACAGTAACCACTGCCAAGGTCTCATGTTCGAGGCTTCAGGTCCATTTAATCATTTTGTGCAAACACAAGGATTGCAGCATAAGCGGACAACACGTGAGTCAGGTCGTGGCTCTGGCAGGGCGGGGAGTCATGAGCTTCGTGATGACAAAGCAAGAGCTCCTGTCTAGGAACGCCACTCATTCAAAACTGTCTGGTTAGGAGTCGAAAAATCCCCAGTTTAACACAGCCTAAAGTTCATCCATGACCAACACAAGATGCTCACTGTGTTGCACAGTGAGGATTTTTACCAGCCAGAGCACTTAGATAATGAAACATAGGGTACACAGCCCCTGTAAAGAGACAGAGCTCAGCTGACAAGGAAATACAACAGATGGGAGAGATTCCCATCACATGCTTTGTGTTCACTTGCCCAGAGCCCATCAAGGTTTATAGCCCAGACTCACAACTCCACCTAATAATAATATTGGCAATGTTGGAAAAATCCCTTTGGCATACACTGTGCTGGAAATCAGACAGCCCACACTGAGCAAGTCAGTGAGTCATAAATAAAAGACTGAACGAGTTTTTAGCGGCTTAGTTTTTCACACTTATTTTTTTAAACTCAGATTCCAACACTAAAAACCTTGGCTGTGGAACACCTCCCAAAGCACAGCTTAAAGTTCACCTAGGGGGAAAACAAAAAAGGCATTAGTGGCTAAGACACAAACATGTCATTTCACCCCTACTTGTAAAAAGCCCTCACAGGAGAGTGTCTAAGTGATCTGAAAAGACACACCTCTCTTGCTTGTCTCCAATTTTGCATCCTTAGGTATGTCTGCACAGCACAACACTAATGACAGGGTTTAGGACCATCACAGGAAAATGCATCCTGACACCCCTTCAGATACAGAAACAGGAAATCTAATCTTCCTTAGGAAAATGAGGTTTGAAAAATCTCATAAGTGCTCATTTGTATTTTCTCACATCTTTAAAAATACACAGTAACTTCATTTGACACCACACCAGGTGGTGTAGACAGGCAAGAAGTTTCAGCAGCAGTAATAGCCAAGGAAGAACACCTCTCACACCTCACTTGCTCCTGCCATAACAGACTCACCTCTTCCTTCCCAACACAGCTGCTTGTGCGCACACACACTTCCACAATTCCTTTGTGAAATATCACATCCACTCGCTCACAGGCTCTTACAGGGGTCTGAAGGCAAAAAATACCATACCCCAGTGTGTATGCCAAGCACACATCTGCCATTAAACCACAATCTCAGCTCTTATGATGCAGTTCCAGTGGTGTCCCAATTTCTTAAGCTTCCTTCCTGCATCATATTTTCATTAAGGAAGTTTTCCAAACAACGTTACCATCACTAACAGCAGCACAAGGTCAGTAATAAGTACATGAGAGCTCTACTGAACGTGGTGCTTTAAAAGATGGCAGCTGACATAATGAGCTCTTTCATCTACAGATATTTTAAAAGATCTTCAGACCTGAATTTCAATATCAGAAATAAGCAGAAGAATTAAGAAAACAGACACCTGAATTTATTAACTAATCCTTAATCTCAAAGGAAAATCATAATTGTACCACTTATTATTCTTCTAAAAACAAAATTGTTTTCCTGGAGTCAGAAATAACACTGATATATTGATACATTGCCAACCAAAAATAATACCTGCACAGAAACCAGCTTTATATACCCTGATCTTTCCAGGAAATTTTCTAATGCAGCCTGCCAGGTTTAGCCAACGTCTTTCAATTTGCAAGGCAATTTCAGAATTAATCTGAGTTTACTGGCTCACGTTGGTAAACAGGAAATAGAAGCTGGACTTTAACCCACTAACTGCTTCCCAAGAAATTACTGTGTGCCATAACCAATATACCATACACTCATCAGTTCATACTCCAGTTTCTATTCATTTTTCAAGACAGTAGAAAAGAAACTACAGAAAATCAAACACAGCCTACCAACAACAACTTTGTAATCAAAGTCTGGTGTGGTACTAAGTGCATCAAGCTATGTAGTATTAAAACTAAAGAAAAGGAAAAGAAAAAATCACATTTGTGTAACATATTGCTACTTACACTCACCTGTTTCAAAAACATCTCATTCACTCAGTCGAAATTTTTCTCTGGAAAGCAGGAGCAGCTAACAATAGCAACACTGCAACCCAAAAGCTCGTCTTTCTTACCTTGCTGACTTTAGACTATATTCATGACTTAACTAGGCAAAGATGAAAGGAATAATAATAATAAACAATAATAAAAAAAAAAACCACCAGCAAGACCGTTTTATTTTATCATTATTTCTCTCCTTTCAATACTAAATAAGGCGACAGAAAAAGAAAACTGTCCAAAGCAAATGTGTAAACACTGAGTTCAGGTCAAAGCTAGCTCATCATAACTTGATGGAGAATCAGAGCAACGGCAGGCAGCACATGCTGGGTGCATCAGGAGGAGTGTAGGATTCTTACCCATCAAGGACAGGTGCTGGCCAGCTGAAGACCACTTCTGGTATATCTGGACTAACCCGGCATGTTACAATTAAACCAAGATTTTCATGTCATTCAAATCACAAACAACACGGCTGTGCACATTCTCAAGTGTGAGATTTTTACGGATGGATCCTGCCCAACCGAGAATACGTCTTGATGATGTTTCAGCCCAGGAGAGGTCCCCTCTCCGGGGACATACTTCTGATTACAAGAAATGAGCTGCTTACAAGACGGCTGAGAATAAATCAAGCGCATTGCCCAAACTGTGAACTGTCCTCGCAGCATCGGTAAAACCCTTTGTGAGCTGCCACACTTAGCAGGTGACAGCCGCTCCTCGGCGTGAGCCACGGCGACAGCTCCGCCGGCCTCATGCGGGCAGCGCTCCCCGTCTCCGCCCAGGTGCACCCCCGGCATCTCTGTGCCCGCAGCGGAGCTCCAGCCTCGGCAGGAGCCGCCAGTGCCGGGTCCGAGTGGAGCCGAGCTCCGGGCCCGCCGCCGCACGGGGGGCAAGGCACGGACCCCCCGCCCCGCCCGCGCAGGATGCCCCGGGCACGGGGCGCCGCAGCGGCCCCGGCTGGAGACGCCGCCCGGCTGACCCCGCTCCGCGGGCCCCTCGAAGGAGCGGGACGGGCCGAGGGAGGCCCTGCGGAGACCGCCGCCGCCCACCACCACCACCACCGAGGCCTCACCCGTGCTCGTCCTCGTCGCAGGCCTGGCTAGCCTGTCGCGCCCCCACGGCTGCTCCGGACGATGCCTTGCTGCCGCTCTTCTTCAGGATGCCCTTGATGGGCCCCCGCCCCGTCGCCGAGGCGTCCGGTACCGAGGGCGCCTCCATGGCCGCGCCGCCCGCCCGGTTCCGCTGCCGCCGCCACCGCCCCGGCCGGGCCCGCCCCGCGCCAGCGCCGCCGCCTCAGCCCGGCGCGCCCGCGCCCCCTGGCGGCCGGCGGACCGACAGCGCCCCTTGCTGCCGTGCGCCTGCGAGACCGCCAGGGGGCGCCCTGCGCGCGCGGGGAACCCGGACACGGACACGGGGACAGACGGACACAGAACACACGGACAGATGGACACACAGAATACACGGACAGATGGACACACGGACACAGCAGGGACAGTGGTACAAGGATACATGGGCACACGGACACAGCAGGGACACAGAACACACTGCGAGATGGACACGCGGACACGGAACACACAGACACACGAACACATGGACACACAGACACGGCAGAGACAGTGGTACACGATAGATGGACACACAGCCATGGCAGGGACACGGACACAGATACATACACAAGGGGACACAGTGACAGAGGGGACACGGGCACAGAGATACGCAGTCACACAGGCACACGGGGATACATGGGCACAGGGACACAGAATCACTGGAGCGGTCAGGTTGGAAGGGGTCACATTGCACAGGATTGTGTACAGATGTTCTTGAATATGTCCAGTGATGGAAACTTCACAGCCTCTCTGGGCAATCTGTTCATCACCTGCACAGTAAAGAGGTTCTTCCTCATACTCAAGTGAAATTTCCTGTGCATCAGTTTCTGCCTATTGCCTCTCATCCTAGTGGTTGGCACAGCTGAGAAGAGCCTGGCATCTTCTTGGCATCTCCCCTCCAGATCCATACATACTTTGATGAGGACACATGGACACAGAGGTCTGCTGTGTGCACAGGGCCGGTGGCCATGCACACCCTGCACACCGGGAGGTGTGTGCTGCCCATCCACAGAGCTCTTGGGACTGTGTGGGACTTGTGCCTGTTTGGCACTCCCACACACATTCAAGGGTTTTGCACGTGCAGGGTGTCCCACGTGTGTGCTGTTGGCTGGGGACATCGGCTGGCACGGGGCAGGACAGGCTGCAGCTGTGCTGTGGTGTCCCCGAGCTCTCTGTGCTGCCATGCAGAGATGCCCCCACCACAAAGCGTTTGCCAGAGCAGCCCAGGTTTGTCACGGTCTCTGTGGCACAACGAAGGAGCCAGCATGGTCTCCAGAGGGCCCAGGCATCGCAGGGTTTTGTCTCTGAGTGAAACATTCCCAGTTCCTAGCCAGATCCCGTGCCCAGCTGATGGGCCTGCAGGTTCCCATCCCTAGAGCTCAGTGCCTGCACAGCCACCGTGCCATGGACTTTCATCACACTGAATGAGGGCTACAGCAGCACCGTCCATGTGAGAAGGAAAATAGGAACCTGATGAAGCAGTGATGAAATGATTACACCCAGAATCTGACACACTTGGGAGCAACTGTGCAGTTGTTTGTATCCTGGCATGTCCATCATCCTTATAGCCTGAAAAATTGGGTGGAGTGTTTAATTCTTTGTCACAGGAACTGTGGGATTAGGATTTGAAGTTTAAAGGGATAATGACTTAAACATGGCAGTTGTTTCTGGTCTCTCCCATCCTGGCCTCCTCTGACTGGTAACGATTAGTGACATACTGGCTCCCTGCTCAGCTCCTGTAACTCTCCCAGGGCAAGAAAGTACCCACACCACCAGGGTCCCACCAAAATAAGTGTAGAATGTTTCCTGCTGATTTACAGCATTCTACATCCACATCATTATTTCTTCATGTCAATAAAAGCAGCAGGAGATGGGAGTCAGCCAAAGCCACAACACAGATTTGCTGGCAGGATCAGACAATGTGGGGTGCCCATACCCCAACCCCGGAGAGCCAGAAAGAGCTCCAGGCTCCTGGAACAAACCATTTCCCTTCAGCTGTGGTTGTTATGTTCATTGTAACCCTGCTGTGGCGGTGCTGTGGCCTCAGAGCAGGGGCAGGCCCCACACACTGAGCCCCTCAGCCTGCTGGCAAAGGCTGTGCAGCTGGGAAGGTACAAAAGGCCCGAAGCAGGTGCTTTGATTTCATTTTTAATGAGTTGCATGAATGCTATTCAAGCAGAGCTGTCGCAGTGCCTGGTGAACACCTGCCAGGGCAGATGCAGCACCAGTGGGCACTCGGCACGTGCAACAGCAGTGGGCAGGATGTCAGGCAGAGCCTGCTGTCTCCTGGTGTTCAGGGAAAAGCCTCTGGAAGAGAGAACAAGGGAGCAGCCCCATCTCTTTATGTCTGCTTACAAGTACAGTCAGAGCTGGCCCCTTGAGGGCAGGACCAATCTCATTAGAGGCAAGAGAAGGTCACGTATTGACATCGGGGATGGAGTGATGCTGAATCTCTGGACATTTTTGGATTTGAAATACAAAGGGCAAGATCTGATTTCTAGCAAGTAGGTCTGCTGACTTAGCAGCAACATATGCCTACAGTCCTGCACTGGAAAACTTTCAAGAGCCCCAGTCTCGGTTCCCAGGCTGCAGGACTGACCCACCATGTCTGGATGTTGCTGCTGCTAAGGCACTGCCCACAGTGTATCTCAGACACTGTAGATTCCTGGCAGGCCCAGAAGCATCAAGACAAAATTTGGAAATTAACATGGGGCTGTGTGATGAATGATTTTTCCCCAGGACTAATACTTGCACATCACAACTCATACCCTTTCCCATCCACATGCTGGAGGACTCTCAGCAACAGCAAAGTTTCAGGTCTGCACTTCAGGGTTTCTTTCTTTCACCCACTAGCACTGACTCAGTCAGTTATGCTGCAAAAGTCAGAGCAAGACAAAGAGAGGGGGAAGAGCTATATGGGGAATGACAGCAAGGAGTAACTCTGGGCTGGCAAACTACTGTTAGCAAAGAGGAAACTAAATTTCTCAGGTACATAGAGAAATTCTAATGGATAATAAAGCAAGCAACAAAGTTTGTCTCCGATCTGGTGCTGTGTCACTGCATGCCAGGAGTTACATCTCAGCAGGGCAGTTGGCTTGATCAGTGGGCATCATTTTGTCGGTGTCAATCTTGTAGGACTGGAGAACACTCTTCAGGTGCTCCACAGTTTCTGGGTGCATGTCAGGAGCTCTTGACAGAATCCAGGCGTAGTCCATGTGGAAGAGCCAGAGGATGTTAGTGCAGGAGTAAACCAGGGAGTAATTTTCATAGTCAGTGGAGATGACCCAGTAAGGGGCAGCAGGCATGACTAGGAGAGAGGAGGGCACCGTGATTGCTGAGTGTAACCAGCTCTGGACAGCCCTGCAACACCACAGCCACAGTTCCTAGGACTGTTCCCACTCTGGCTGCTGCATATTTGTGGTCAGTACAGGGAGCTATAATTTATCAAAGCCTACCAGGACTCCTTGTTCTGCCCAGAGGAACTTGAGAAAGACACAAAGCCCTGACTATGAAGAAGGTCTTCCTGGGAAGTTAGCACTATGACCTGAACAGCTCTCCTGGGCTGATGAAAGCCTCACCAGTGTGAGGGAAGGAACTGTAGTGCTGGGAGCTGACACGAAGGAGTCAGCTGTGATAGGAGGAGCACAAACCAGCACCCACTGCCATGGGGAACCCTGCCTTGGGGAGCCAGCTGAGCCCAGAGCTGTTCTCTGGGGCTCACATCTGGTGAAGGTGGTTGGGGCTGCACATGCTGCAGGTGAAATGTCTGCTGGTGATGCCATAGCAGCAAAGAATTAAGTCTGGCTGTGCTCATGGACAGTACTTCCTTTGGACTTGTACTTCCTTTGCAACTACCCTTCCTTCACCATTTCTCCAAACAACCCCTCTGTAAAAGAGAGATATGAAACTGTCAAAAAAAAGGTGTGAGCGAGCACAATAAAAAGTGATCCAAGGGGTCACTGTAGCTCACTTTTCAGTGTTGCTACAGACAGAGGAAAATGCTGTGCAACGTGGCAGAGCACCTCAGCGGGCCCTTGTCGAGTGTTACAGTGACAAGGGAAGGAACAAGCAAACAAAACCATATTATTAATGGTTATTAAAAGCCACTTGTAGGTAGAGGCAGTGTGGGCAAGTAGCTGTACCACAGTGTGCAGAGAAACAAGCTTATTCTTGGCTCTTGCAGCACTGTGGGACTGCTTCCTCCACCTCCCCACCTCCCTGTCCCCATCTGTGAAATGATCTGGAGGGACAGCAAGGCTGCCGATCTTTCTTGCTTTGAGATCAGCCGGTGAAGAGTTCTCCACCGCTGAGGGGGCTGTTGCTGTAAATGGCATATCAGTGTCACCAAATCACTGCCTGCTGGTCGCAAGGTCTATTTTAGCCCTTCGCTGTTGTGCTCAAGTCACAAGGGGAGCTCCACCCCTTTCTTTGCAGTTTCTGACCCCTGGTGCCATGGCACAATGCTCGGATCACAGCACTGCCGAGGCCATGGGCACCACGGAGCCCTCCCAGCACACACTTACACCAGTTAAAGCGGACGCCCAGCTTGGCCGGCTGCTTTACATCCATGTGCATGAGCTCGCCTTCAGCTTCATTGATTTTGCCATTGGCACTAAGGAGAGAATGACAAAAGTGAGAAATAAAGCCAGGAAAGTGGGAGATAATTTTTTCCACTTCCACTAAATCATCGCTCCTGACACAACTACCTGCCAAGAAGTGGCTGAAATAGGTACTAGTAAACCCCAGCATCCCTGAGGATGTTTTCAGCAGCACTCAGGGCACAGCACATCCTGGACCAGGTGCAGCTGGGTAGATGGTCTCTCAGGTCAAACTGTCCCAGCACCCCAGGCTGTCTCCCTGCCAGCGGGATGTCCTTTGGTTCCAGGCTGACAATGACAGAGAAGGAGAGCAAGACCACTCTGCACTGGGTGGGAGGAATCCAGCATGGGAGGACGGGAGGATCCCGTCCATGATCTTGGATGTGCCAGGGAGCAGCTCAGCTCCTGGTAGTTGTGGAAAGCATATATTCATTTCTGTTTAATCACCTGCGCTTTTTCCAGGTCACTGCACATTCCTCGGCACGCAAATTACCTGTGCCTGTGTGGTGAGCCAGGGTTTCTTTGGCTGCTCATTCAGAGCACTGCCCTGTTGGCAGCAAGCCCTGAGGCT